TCCCAGCCCCCACTGTGTGTAATTGTGTCTGTTGTTTCTAGTGCTTTCTATTCGCTGAGACACAGTGTTGCTATTATTGTCTGGTAAGGTAATTTTTTTTTTTTTTGAGATGTTCTTACTGGAATAGCTGCGGGATTTCCAGACACTTCAGTTGTAGAGGGTATTCTGAGTTGTGTTATTTTTCCCAGCCCCCACTGTGTGTAATTGTGTCTGTTGTCTCTGCTGTGTTGTTCTGCCTCTTTTAGTAACATGTTGATTCTGTGTTTCTGGAAGGTATCTGTTGATCTTTGTAGCCTTCAGATGTCCCAGTTCCCTCTATGCTTGGTGTGCCCGTGGTGGTTATGATGTATTAGAAGTGTTGTAGGTCTCCCTGGAGCTGGGCCTGTGGCTGAGTTGGTGGCTGACTTTGTTTATTCTCTAAGTACTGTGAGCCTTTCTGGCTCACAAATCTTCAGGCCTCTGATGTGGGGCTGGGATCTCCTCCTCCCCACAGGAGTGCAGTATCCTTGGGTCTCTGTTTCAGAGCTGCAGTCTTTTCCCACAGTTTGGTTTCCTCTCCCTAGCTAAGTTGTCTCAGTTTATCTCCAGGGCTGTAGCAGGGCTGGGGCAAAAAGCTGCTGCAGCTGTGCTGAGCAGCCGCAGCTGCCACTGCAGTCAGTCTCCCTCTGCAGTGCTTTCTGGCGCCAGGCGCCTAGATTTTTAAAGGAGCCGAAGGAGTAGGAAGCCACTGGCGTTCCCAGATCAGAGTTGCAGGGTTCTGCTAATCCACTGCTAATTCCACTTCTGGTTAGGAATTCCCTTATGGGAACTCCCAATTGCCGATTCTCCCTTGGTTATCTTCCTTCTGGTGAGTCCAGGGTGTTCTCATTTGGGTTGAAACTTGTAGCATTTAAGTCTATAGTCCGTTTTATATATTCCCGTGAGAGTTTGGATGTAGTGGTCTTGGCATCTTTATTATGCCGCCATCTTGCCCTTCCTAACCTGGTCGGGCTGGTCCTCAGCCGTTTTGCACAGCACCCAGGTACTCCCTATCGGGTCTTCAGTTTCAGCGGTTTTTCCCTGTATCCAGGTGTTGCCGATCAGATTTGCAGTCTTTCCTCAGCCTGGGCTCCACTCACTGAGCTGAGGTGTCCCCTTTTACCTCCAGGGCTTTAGCGTGGGGCAAAGCGGCTCACCAAACTTCCAGGCACCTGGGTTTTCCTGGGAGTTCCCTTATCAGAACTCCCCAATTGCCGATTCCCCCTCAGTTATTTACCTTCTAGTGAGTCCAAGGTATTTTAATTTGGGTTGAAACTCGTAGTATGTAAGGCTATAGTCCGTTTTCAGTCCTCAACTCCTGTGCAAGTCTGGACTCAGTGATCTCAGCGTCTTTACTCTGCCACCATCTTGATCAGTCAGTCTCTCCTATTTTACTTTTTTAATTGTTTCTTTGTAGTGTAGTTTGAAGTTAGGATAGGTGTTGGAGGGTGAGACAGGAGGAGTGTGATAACTCCATAGCACTCTCCCCCATCCCCCAGAGTGTGTTCATATTTAGTGTCTTTTGTTGTTCCAAATGAGTTTGGTAGGCTTTTTTTTTTTTATTTATATTTTTAATTTTTGTACCTGAGGTAACATTGGAGTATCCCCATCAGGGATTACTGCCATAGTGCATGGACCTCCAACTTGTTCATATTCCACTACCACAGAACATTGTGTCTCCCTCCGTCCCTGTTTTTTCCCCATCTGCAGCCCTCTTTTTGTGTTCCAATTCTGTAGTCAGTTATCCAGGGTTAGTTTTTCAGCTTGTCTTTATCTTAAAATTTATTTAGTTACTTTATATTCAGCATATTATTTACACCATTCGGTATTTCTATTTCTCCTTCTGATATATTTCACTTAACATTATCTTTTCAAGCTCCATCCATGTTGCCACAAATGGCATGAATTTATCTTTTTTGATCATTGAGTAAGCATTCTATTGTGTACACATACCACA